AGAAAAACAAAAAGAAATGTTGAAGGGAACAGCATTCAACTAGGTATAGGCAGACCACTGAATCCCTTGTGACTGAATACCAGAATGCTGGGGGTAGGATGTAACAGTATCCACAAAACAGAAATATAATGATCTCTTTTCTGTTTGAGGAAGAAAACTTTCATTACATAAAAAGGAGCCTATGACCTGGAGCAGGCTAGAAGTAAGGCAAACCTATGTACTCACAAAGGGAGAGAACAACTTTTTCAACTCTTAAATTGGTCATTTGCTGTCACTTATAATGATTAATTACTTTGTTCTTTGAGAAGATACTCCCAAAACAGAGTCAACAAGGCCCTATGAGATACAATGGTCTACTTTTGTGAATACCTTACAGGAATGGAAACAGAGATTTTTTGACACAAGTGTGAAGACAAAAAGTTGAATACCATGACAAAGTTTGAGCACAGTCTTCTTGTCAGAGCTACTTAACTACCATCTACACAGTACATATTGAAACTCAACTTTAAGGTTTTTATTTTTATGTACAGTTCATTTTCTTTTGTCTGGAAATAAAATATCTAAATACAGACAGACTGTAATGTTGTATATGTATAGCTTTCAACAATACTTTAGCTGAATAAATGCTTTGTACATAATTCTGTCTTTTAATGGAGTTTACAGCTACATTGATAAAATGGGTTCCTCATTTCCTTGATTGTTTTTAACCAATAACAAGCAGAGAGACAATTACAAGTTAATATTAATAAGCAGCTCAAATAACACTGGTTAAACTATGTACAATACAAACCATTCATACAAATGAAGACTAGGATATTGAATTTGTTACAATAGTTGTAATAAAGATAAGACAGCCACTTATAACTTACATGTTGTCTATCAGGCATTTTCCTCCTTACAGCATAGTTGAAGAGTGTCAGTAGCTTAGCTGGTCTCCCTGCCTCCATCTTTAAATGGTCAGTAAAGAAATTTGAAACCAGGTTATCTGCCCACATGTAAATTCCAAATGTTTGCTCATCTTTACTAGACACAGGCTCCCTCCACAGAAAAAAGAGCCACCTAACACCACCTTGAATGTGCCTACTATATGCTGGAAAAAGTCACTACGCTTTGTTGTGTTCATATAATATGGAATACTGAGCTCTAGACACACATTTTTTCCCATTTTAACAAGCATTTACTCCTACAGTATTATTTACCAGTACAGCTACTCCAAGCAGCAGAATGCACAAGTGGGGATTATTGATTGGCATGTATTCAAGACTTTAAAGGAGATTTCCATAACAGTCTGTGTTAGAAACCATTCACTGTCTAGTTAATCCTTTTTGCTTGATGATAGGTTATCCTGAAACATTATGTATCAGACAATGAAAGCCCTCTTAACAGGAATCTCAATAGATGCAAGCTGAAAAGAGTGTGTGTCTGTGTGTGTGTGTGGTTTTATTTCAAATCCATAGTGATTTACAACTAGACTGATAACATGGAGCTGACTGGGCAGAAATTACATTAGATTGTTTTCCACTAACGTATTTGCAGCCATTTGACATCAGCAGTAGAGTGTAGACACATTCCAGGCAATAGATGTGGCCTCCTTCTTTGAGGTAACAGCCCTGTCATATGACCTCTTTTATTCCTCCGGGTTCAGTCTCAGACACATGTTCATCCTCAACCTGAAGGGAAGTAGGGTGTGTCGCTGTGGTAGTTATAATCAGGACACACCTTCTGTACTAGTTTATAATCTGTACTATAAAAGGAAATGTAAATACAGATTACTTTAAAGGGCTTGGAGCAGAGCCATGACACATGACTCTGGGTCTGCTCCTGATAACATGTTTTTGAAGGGTCATAGTTGCAGAGCGTGTTCTTGGTAGCCTTGTCAACCTTTTCGTATTCGATGCGACAGTTAAAGGACTTCGAATCTTTGGCATCAATCACGGTCTGTTGTGCCAAGTCAAATTCCACTATTTTGGTAGGGGGCACTAGGCTCACAGATACATTCCCTTGACCAGTGGAATTATGCCTGAAGTAAACACTAAACGTCCCATTGCCATGGTCAACGATTTTTCCAGTTATTAACAGGTTTAGCTTCACAGTCTTGATGTTGGAATGAAAATCACCCCAGCCAAACATTTTCTTAAATTTCCCAGTCTTGACAATGGGCCGTCTCTTTGCTCTGGGCCGAGGCTCTTGAAGGTCTGTGGAGTTCCTCAGCCAGTCCCAGAGATCTTGCTCAGAATATGTTTCTGGGGCATCATATCGCAGGTCCAAATCTGTATCATTTTCCTTGCCACGAAAAGTCTGTGACAGCAGCCGGCTGATGGACAAGTCTTTGCTGCTTTCTGTCCATATGTGCTTTAGTGTGGATTTGGAGCTTCCTGATTTTAGAAGTTCTGATTTTCCGCCATTTGTTAAATTTGCACACGTAACCTGAAAAAAGAAAGGGCACACTGAGATACTTATATACAAACATGCCTACAAAGCCCATTGTTCTCATCTGATATTAGAGACTGGAATTCAACAATAAACAGAGCTAAAAATGATTTTCAAAACAAAGTTTAAATTATTCTCTATACTCAGATAAAACAGAACAGACAGACTCTTTGTGTGCAATTTCCAGGGAGGCTCTTCTCACTAATAAGCAACACCTTTAATTATAATTAATCCAGAAGGTCAATTCATACTGCAACTCAAAACCTGTAATTCAAAAACTCATAGCAGCTAATTTTTGGCAAAGAATCATTTGAGGATAACCTATTGTTTTATGTAAAAAAAAAATGAAAGAAAAAAAGGCTGACTTGGAACCTCACCAATGGGTTATACAATCATTAATGTGTAAGACCATGTGTTCTTATTTTCCATTCACTTCCCCTATGTTCCTCTTTCAGTTTTGTTTACCACACTCACTGGTTGGATCTCGTCTCAAACAGAATTTAATACTTTCTGAAGCCTCTTCTATACTGAGGTTGGGTTTGGGGTTTTTTTGCACTAAGGAAATTAATTACAGTCTATCTTTGCTGCTGCCAACCTCCACTGTCAATATGCATCTTGGCGGTACAGTAAGTCTACACTGGGCCTTTGAACCTGTATAAATGTCGTTATACCAGTGCAAATGTCCTTAATTCATTTGCAAAGTACATAGTAGGTTAGGGCTATTATCCTTCATGAAGCTCATTGACCAAACCACAATTTAAATAATAGAATATACTCAGAAAAAGGCTTAACCGTGTCTTCAATCCCTATGCTATTTGCAGCAAGTGAGTTGCTGTACCATCCCTGCATACATGACTGCCTTCCTGTTCCAACTTCTGCTTCAGAAAGGGAATATGTAATGCTGGGTCCATTTCTGGTATAATGTGTGATCCCCTAGGGCCAAAGTGAATTATACAGGCTAGAAATCCAATTGAGTGTTTGACTCCTAAAGTGAAGATCACATCAGAATGTGCAGAAGTGAGACTATGTAAAATTAATGATAAAAAATGCAAGATCAAAGAGACTGGAGTTCAGAATTAAAGAGAGCTAAAATAAACTAATGAAAACCTTGGACTGAAATCATGAGGAAGCCATAAACTTCAGTGTCAATTCTGCACAAAACTCAGTGCCAGTGCAAGAAGTCACATTCATTTTCCATTTTTCCTTTAAAAATACAGCACACATGTTCCTGGTTTCTGAAAGGTAGGTAAAGTAGGCTATCAGCTCTTGTATTTTGTGGCTAAGCAATAGACCTGGTCGTTTCATAACAACTAAGTTCCGGTGCTATTTATGTTCTTTATGCAGTTATAGGTGTCTCTTCACTTAAACAAAAATGAATTGTATATAAACCCACACCATGAAATTCCAGGGACGCAAGTAATCATGTTTAATATGAATCCTTTCTCTAGATGCAATATAGAAATTTGTAAAGAAAGATATCAAACATAACAATGTTTTTTCCTTTTCCTGATAATCAGGGAATTTGAACCATCTTGCTCACCAGTTTGCGAACTGTTTCAAGGACAGTTGAGTTGCGTCCCCCTCTCTTAAATGTGCTATGTGGAAGCTATCATAGGAACATCTTGAAGAGATGCCAGATACATTTGCAACCTTCCTTTAAAAAATAAATCAGTCATATTCCTAACTGAATTGCTCCAGTGCCTTTCAGTTTGGTGGGTAGATGGGGATAATAAATAAAATATGGACTTTAAGATTTTGCCCAAAGGATGATTTTCCCTTTGTCTGAATGGAAGGAAGGATAAACAGCTTAGCATTTGATAGCTGGTTTGTATCTGTGTCTTAGCATCAACACAGTAAGCCAGGAGAGAGGCTATAATGAAATGCACTGATGGTGCACTGGTTAATGAAGCAGCAATGAAGATGTCACAGGGAGAGAGAGACTTAGAACACAATTTTGCAGTGGCATATGGGGAGGGAGAGCAAAATAAAAGGAGAAATGTGATTAAAAAGAGAATTGTGCCAGTCTAGTATGAATCTGTCAGCCTGCTATGAATTTAAGCAGGTAACTAGCAGATCTAGTATACCTGCAATCTGCAGGTAGGACAAAATTGCTTACTGCCATCTTTTACTCTCCTCACAGACTGATTTTTTTTTCTTTTCCTTCTTGTGTTTCAATGAGTTACATTTTGTAGGATTTAGCTACAAATTCTCCCATAACAAGATGTTACAACCCGAAGCTCATTTTAAAGAGAACAGTTTTTTCTGACTGCATAAAATCAAATGCCCGGGAGAGGCAATGAACATTTTTACATGCTTGCTGTACAAATTGTTGGTTTTAAAAACCAACAGATCTCAAGTTTAACTGAAAACTTCAGATTATATGCAAGTGCTATGTTGTTTCATATCTGACCTAATAAATGCCATTGATTGTTACTATAATTGATTTTGGAATTGTTGAAGGGCTTCTAGTCATGCATTTAGCCCTCAGACCTTTTTGTAATTCTGTATTTGGATAACTGTTGCATTTATGATTACAGACATGAATCTGCCCTCTGTAGTCAGGAAAGAATAGTTTGAATAATGAGTGCAAAATCGGTCCCAAGGGGCTAACAACAAAGTGCAAGAATCCATTGTTCAAAGGATTATGATGATGATTATTTATAAATGTAAAGACTTTTCTTGTTGTCAAAGCAATGGCTATTTTGTATGTACCATTAAAGTACTGTATATCATGCCAAGTTAACTCTACATACATCCTCTCAGTCAGGTACAGTATAGGATGCGTTGTGTAGCTGCCTCACAGAGCTGAATGAAAGGCAGAGAGGGGTGGTTTTACATGGAATAGTCTAGTTTTGTCCTGCCTGCTTTCATGTTCACCAGACTTCACAATAATATGTCTATAGCATCGATTCAGTAAGCAATTATATGTATACAAAGCAGGCGAATCCATGGCACCTTGTCAGTTTGCTGAGTGAAAGCTATTTCACTTGAACATGGTTTGGTTTTGGTTTAGAAATATCAAGAAAATAGAACTGATTTCAAATGAAATGCAAAAATATGGAACATTTCAGATTCTGTTAGGGATATTTCCCCTCTTCCTAGAGCATGTATACAGTACAGAAATGTGTGTGCTGCAACAAACCTATTATTTGATCTTAACTGAAGGTGACTTTTTTCCTGATACTTATTAATATATCAAGTGGTCCCCTAGTCCTGGTATTTTACTGCATTGAATTCTTCACTGCTATTGCAGATAAGGTTGCTCAGTGGGGCTACTAGTCTGTGTGAATTTTTTCAGGATCAGGATGAATGTAGAATAGTATTCTCTGTATTTAGACTATGGATTACAAAAAACCCAGAAAACTTTCACAACTATGAAAAGCATCAAGATGTATGTGGGCTGTCCTGTACACTACCTTTCTAAAACCAATACTGTGATTAAGATTTTGTCATCAGAAGTTTTTTAGGGCACACACTTTCCCCTTACTGTTTGTGTGTACAAATGGGACTCTTACCTTCATAGGGAGCTTTAGGCTCTATGATACTACAAACTGCATTAATCAGTGCAGTAAATATGAAATGCCAAATGCCTTTATTCACTATATTCCATTCAATTAATGGTGTAAAGATATGATTTTTTTTTCCTTAGGAAGAAAATGTTTGCTGGCATTTTTTAATTAGTGCAATGATGGGAGTGCCCATGAGAGAACAGCA